TTTCAAGTTCCAAGTTTATTAAATTTTAAGAAAGAAATAGGCATCAGTCATAATCAGAAGTCAAAATAAACTTCACACAACATCATATGATACAATGGTCCTCCCTCTCGCCAACTTCAATTATATAAGTTTCCTGGCTCAAAGATATAGAAAGACTGGAAAGTCCAGATAATTTTTCCCAAACACTGTGCACCATTATCATCAAATAAGAAAAATAAACATCATAAAGATGTGAGCCCTTTCTCACAAAGTACATCTACACATTTTACCCAATCCCAATAATAATATTAACAGGTTTTAAGGAGGAGGAAGTGATGACTAGATATGTTTATTTAAATGAATATGATTTTTTTAAACACACATACACAAATAAATATTAAAATTCTATAAAATGGAACTACCCCATCAAAAATAAAAAAAAATCATATTAAGCTCCAATAATTTAAAAAAAAAGTGTGATCCTGGTATACACATAGGCATAGAGATCAATGAAAGTAAATGGAGATTCCCAGAAATAGACCAAAATGTGTTTGGGAATTTATAATTCAAAAAGAAACCAAAGGAGAAAAGTTGGGACTATTCAGTAAAATCAGACTGCTAATTTTCTACTAAAATTCCCTCTTTGTTTTTTTTCTTGGGCCCACGTTGACCAGCAGAGCCTGCATGCCCCACCCTCCCTGGCAGCCAGAAGTGCCCACATGACAAGTTCTCACCAACAGCGATAGAAGTGATGTGCGCAACTTCTGATCACTTGACCCGGACTTTCTCCTCTGTCCTTCGCAATGAGGGAACCCAGATATGGTAGTAAGCCAGCTATGACCATGCAGATAACTACAGTGACAATTAAAGGGACCTGGGAATATGGGCTATTTTGCTGACCTGCTCTGCTCCCACTGGGACTGTTAAGTGAGGAAAAACTCAACATCCATGTTCTTTGAACCATAGCATATTTTAGTCCCTTGGTTACAGCAGCTCAGCCTTCCCTTAATTATTAGAGCACCTGGAGAAAAATTAAGTTGCATTCATACTTAACATTCCAGACGGATCAAAGAATTAAAACTAAAAAATAAACACATACCAAAAACACATGACACTATAAGGAACCATGAGGTAGGTTTTTAACTGTAGGAATGGAAAAGGTCTTTTAACTGTGATTCAAAATCCTGAAGCCACAACAAGTTTGATTATATGTTTATCTCTATAATCCTTGTTGAACATCTTTTATTGACTATCTCTTCCACTTAGCTCTAAGGAGCAAGAATTGGGATCTGTTTTCTTTACTACTGTATAGCCTGCTGCCTAGAACAAGTGCCATGAGAGGTATCCAATAAATACTTGTTAAATTAATAAATTGGTAAACTTAAGGATACAAAATTTTAAATAATCTGCACAGCAAAATAATGTTTATACAAAATGCCACATAAATGTCATATATCACAAGGAGAACAAAAGGCCTGGCACTAATTTTGTTAATACACAGGAGCCCCCATGAATGGAAAATAAAAAGATTAAAAACCCAATAGAAAAATAGACAAAGGACACAAGCATAAAGGGAACAGAACAGGAAATAAAAATCACATTCAACTTATGAAAAGATATTCTATGTCAACCAAAATAAGAAAAATGCAAATCGAAGCTACCTTAAACTGTCATTTTTCACCTCTCCATTTGGCAAAGAAAAAAACAAAAACCTATCAGTTTGACAACTGTACTGTGACCGGCACGGGTGTGAGGAGGCAGTGTTCTCATCCACTGCTGGTGAAATCTGAAACTTTGCAAGCTCTATGGCTAGAGCATCTTGGCAATAAATTTCTACCAAAATTAAAATGTCCGTACCCTTTGACCTATCAATTCCACCACTAGAAATGGATCCTACAGATATGCCCATGAACGTGTTTGAAATGATATATGTACAAGGTTATTCCCTACAGGCTTGTTAATGAAAATAAAACTGAAAATGACCTAAATGGCCATCAATATAGTACTGGTTAAGTAAATCACAGTGCAGCTCTAGCCAGTTTGCCTCAGTGGATAGAGCATCAGCCCTCAGACTAAAGGGTCCCGGGTTCGATTCTGGTCAAGGGCGCGTAACTCGGTTGCAAGCTCTATCACTGGCTCGGGTCAGGGTGCATGTGGGAGGTAACCAATCCATGTGTCTCTCTCACATTGATGTTTCTCTCTCTCCGTGTCTCTCCCGCTCTCTTCCACTCTCTGTAAAACTCAATGGAAAAATATCCTTAGATGAGGATTAACATAAATAAATCACAGTGCATCCACACAGTGGAATACTAGACATCCATATAAAAAGAATGCAGTATTAGCGAGGAATAACTTCCAAGAAATAGTATTTCAATGAAAAAAAGGGTACAAAACAGTGTATATCATTACTATTTGCAGCTCACTTTCACTCTCTGTAAAACTCAATGGAAAAATATCCTTAGATGAGGATTAACATAAATAAATCACAGTGCATCCACACAGTGGAATACTAGACATCCATATAAAAAGAATGCAGTATTAGCGAGGAATAACTTCCAAGAAATAGTATTTCAATGAAAAAAAGGGTACAAAACAGTGTATATCATTACTATTTGCATTTAGAAGAACTGCAATAATCTATAGGTTACATGCTGGTATATGATGTATGACCTGAAATCTCTGAAAGAATACACAAGAAACTGGTAACATTGGTTGCCTCTAGGAAGGGGAACTGGGCACTTGGGAGACTTATATTTCACTCCTGTTCCTTTCTAATCTTTTTTTTAAAATATAGTTTTTATTGATTTTTTACAGAGAGGAAGGGAGAGGGAGAGGGATAGAGAGTTAGAAACATCAATGAGAGAGAAACATTGATCAGCTGCTTCCTGCACACCTCCTACTGGGGATGTACCCGCAACCAAGGTACATGCCCTTGACCGGAATCGAACCTGGGACCTTTCAGTCCGCAGGCCAACACTCTATCCACTAAGCCAAACTGGTTAGGGCTCCCTTTCTAATCTTATAAATATTGATTATATTACTTTCCTAAAAATAAATATTTTATAAAATAACAACAACACAAATATTCATTTCCAGCCCCAGATATCTGAAAACTTCTCTGGTGAGTCCAACCATCAATTACCCCATGAAACTCTAAGCTGGACAATTTTAACCCTGTTTCATAATTAAGAATCAAAGGGTTAATTGCAATTAACTACCACCACCATCTCCTCCTCCTCCCGCAAATAAGCATATATGCAAAATATAAGTCAGTTTCTTAATTCTATCCCTATTATTCATTACTTCCTCTTAAAACTAATTCAACCTCATGCCACCTTAAATGGGCATGAAAATATCTCAAAACGCTCCAAGGATGGTAGCCAAAACTAACAACTATGGTAATATATTAATGCAGCCCAGTGCCAAAAAACTTCCTTCCAAACTCCCGAGATGAAAATTTGACATAAGTGACACCTCAGCAACAGCCCCAAAGCTGTGTAACATCTGCCTTAGAAAATAAAAGCTCACATCCTTAATGACTAAAAGGCCAATGTCAACAGTCATGACTTTTGTTTTTTCCTTAACGTGAGGTCTCCCCCAACCCATATCCCCCTTTAAATTACAGGCTAACGTCTCACTTGAGGACTGGTTATTATTATGTTACAGCCATATAAAGAGCATTAAGCAGTCATTACTTAGACTGAGACTCTACTGAAAAGGAAAAATTCTCCTTAAAAGGGAAAATACCCACAACATATGAAAGAGAAGGAAAAACCAAGTCATAAAATAAAATGTACAGTCACCATCGATTTTTAAACATAATTAATATGCCTAGTTTGTTTGTAGAGGAAAAGATCTGTATGTGAAAAAATGTGTCTTCAAAATTATTAGCTACAGGTAAAAGAGAGAAGGAATGGAGAAAATTATATATATGTAAGTACAGGCACTTATATATAGTATATGCCTTACTTTACACTGTTTTGTGATATTTGAAATTAAATAATCAAAAATAAACTTTTATATAAAGAACAAGGTTTTTTAAAACAATGAATTAGACTTCCCTTAAAAAGAAAGCACTTGACAGCTACTACAGTCCTTCCCCAAAAAATGACAAACTAAGGAGGCTGCATAGAGCAAACCTGAGTTCCTTGCTTCTGTCTACACAAGTTTCAAATCTTATCTGAGCAATCCCAACATTTAACTCAGAGAGACACACACGTTTAGCACTTAAGGCCTCCCCTCAGAAACATTTTAGACTCTAGTCTAAAGCATGTATTTGTATTATTACCTCCATAGCTTAACACAACCTAAATGGCATTTCATCCTGACGGCAAGACTTCTGTCCATAGATTTCAAAAGACTCCACAGGGAGCATAATATTAAAATGTAGTTCAGGAAAAGGTAAAAATATGGAGATAATACAAAGATCAGTGGTTGCCAGGGGCTGGGTGCGGACTGAGAAAAAGGTGGAGCACAGAGGATTTTCAAGGCAGTGAAACTATTCTGTATGATACAATAATGGTGGATACATGTCATTATACACTTGCCCAAACCCATCGAATGCACACCACCAAGAGCAAACCCTAATATAAACTATGGCTTTGGGTGATGATGTGTCAATGTAGGTTCATTTGTTGTAATTAATGCACCATTCTGATGTGGTCATTAATAGTGGGAGAGGTTGTGCATGTATAGGGACAGGGTATATGAGAACTCTCTATACGCTTTGCTCAATTTTGCTATAAACCTAAAATTACTGTAAAACATAAAGTTTATTTAAAAGGGCAGGGGAGGGAAGAAGAGTGACCTATAAGGTGAAAAGAATGGCAGAAGCATTTTACATGTAGGGAAATGGTAGTAGTTGAACAACTTGGCCAAAGTTGAAGAATAACTGTGCAGCTCCATTAAAAAAAAAAAAAAAGCCTACCTTCAAGGCAATTCAAGAATTAAGGTTGATTCTAAACTTTCTTATATTACATTCATATAAACCGAAGAAATGATCATTGTGGCTAAGAAATTACCGTGTAGATTTGATCTCTGCCAAAGAGCATTAAAAGAGGTGATTTGTTGAAATGGCTCTACTGCTGGTTCCAGCAATGCTGCTCTGAGAGCTCCTGGGGAAGCTGACGCAGCTACCTTAGAGCTGGTTCCAGGTCATATCTTCCTGCCGTCCTTCAAGCGCTGTGCTCTTGTGCAGAGCTTCGCTCATTAGTTCACCAGGGACGTGGGGAGGGAGGCGTGCGCCTGGAATCTCCTGGAATAATGAGAAATCCCCAGGAGCTCCAAGGCGATGCTCACAAGTGACTCGGCGCTGCAGAGGGGAAGAAGAAAGAAAAACCGTCTAAGCAAAAGAAAATGCTGCAGTTGGGAATGTACTAGCTAAAGGAAGTGCATACTTGACAAGCCTTTCAATTGGGACCACAAAACTAAAGCTTATTTACAGTTAAAGCAAGTATGGGAAGGGTTGAAAAACACTGGCATGCAGTATGTTGAGGTCATAGATCAGTGATGGCGAACCTATGACACGCGTGTCAGAGGTGACACGCGAACTCATTTTTTTGGTTGATTTTTCTTTGTTAAATGGCATTTAAATATATAAAATAAATATCAAAAATATAAGTCTTTGTTTTACTATGGTTGCAAATATTAAAAAAATTTCTATATGTGACACGGCACCAGAGTTAAGTTAGGGTTTTTCAAAATGCTGACACGCCGAGCTCAAAAGGTTCGCCATCACTGTCATAGATCCATACTGCTCTCAAATAATTTTCCACATGACACAAAACCAAGGAAGGCCTGCAGTTGGTAAATTTCAAGATCATGTTCTTTTAAATCCCATATATCATTTCAAAACAAACAAACAAATAAAACCAAGGGCTTTGCATATATTAATTGTTATATGTAGTTGGTTTGAAAATAGAAAGCTCAAGCGGTGCAGAGAATGGAGTGAAAGTCTCCTCTGGACGCCCGGTCACTTGAGAGGCACCCCATGTACCCGAGCAACTAGTTTCTTGTTGTCCACCCACAAACAATCTGGTTTTGGTCCATTTTCAAGCACCATTCTCAGCTGCTGATAGATCTAGTTCAAAGGCTCATAAAACAATGATGGAAAAGGAGCACACAGCGGAAGGGAAGGGGGCTCTAGATAACTAACAAAAAACAAAAAGCCTCCCAGGCTCCCTTTTCCTTTAGGAAGACTTTCAAAACATCAACATTGGCCAAAGGAAGAGGAAATTTTTATTAGAACCAAACTTTCCCATTCGAATAGTTAAGTGACACAAAACACTGAAAAAACTTACTCCTTTCGGAAAATAGTGTTGTTTTTTTTAACCTCAAGGAACATGTTGCCAAGAAAAATTTCACGTAAATACATCTAAGCAGAAAACAAGCCCAAAACGCAGCATTCCTCAATAATTATTTGGAAGGAAAATTACATCAACCTTGAAATTCAAGGAAATGCTTTTACAAATAATGTCAAACCTGTTCTCGCTTCGGTTCAAATTGAAGCTCATGATCAATTTGATTTTAAAATTGTAAGGTGCAATGAAAATAAGGCATACAAATACCCCCCCCCCCACACACACACACCTCTATAGAAAGGTCAACCAGAAATATGACATTTTCAACAATCATTTAGTGAAGTTAAAGAGTAAAAATTCATTTACAGAATGGACATCCTTAAAAACAAATTCATCAGCTAAGCAGCATTCACAAACCTTGAGTTTCAGAACAAACTGTTGAAATCCTGGTATTTTCCAAGATGCTGGGCCAGGGAAATTTGGCAGATTCACACTGAAGTTGCTTTTCCCGCTGCCAAAGACCAACTGCATTTTAGGAGAGGGCCAGTGCTAAGCTGCCCTGCCCAGGACCCTCCGTGTCTAATTTATAGGTACGTACTGTTTAGGAGCAGGTTGAGATAAGCAAGAAAATAAGAAAATGCTGGTGCATATTTTTCTGATTCTGTTTTTAAAACCCAGATATGGACTTTTAAAAAATTACAAAGGTGCGTCTACTTCCCTAGCCCTACCACCTTCTCATTCTTCAAAACTATGTCCAGGTTCTCCTGCCTCTGTTCAGCTTTCTCTAGTGATTCTTCTACTTTCCAGATCTTTCCACTCTAATTCCGCTGGTACTTATAGTGTATATGGCTCAACCTGGCATTTAATCCTCTGCCTTGACCTGAGTTTATCTCAATTTATCTAATTTATACTAGAAGAGGGTCACATATTCTTCTGCTGCTGCTATATCCTTTCTCCACATAACCTAGCATCTAGCATATAGTTGATGTTCAAGAGCTACCGAATAAAAATCATGTCTCCAAATTAAACATAATTTCATATCTGTTTTAAAATTCATCAGCTTTCACCCCATGAATGGAAGTCAAAACCATGGTGTCCTGCAAGGAAGAACTCAGGTTGGTAACGTGGGAGCTCAAGTTGAGAGGAAATTCTGGACACTTAACTCTTCAAACGTCCTAGTGAGAACCAATCTCCCCACAAACACCCTTGATGCCAGTAAGCAAGCTTGGCAAAGCCTGAAAGGTAGTGTAGAGCAGTCATGTTCAAACCCCCAAGTGTGATTTTTAAAATAATTTTTTTAAAGACACCAATGTACCAATTAAAATCAGTGCTATAAAATAAGTATCTATATAGCAAACTCCAGCAACATGTCACAAAACTTTTACTGAGCTGAGTTTTTTCCAAAACCTTAGCCAACTCATGTGTTTGGCTATGGAGGTTTAATTATTGGCAGCTAATCATGCCTCGTGCCCTGCGAAAATGTGACCCATAAAGGTCAGAGGCACATTCCTGGGAAATGGTGGAGGCTGAGTGTGAGGAGGGGGAAAAGGAGAAATCCAACTCCAATTGCAGGCTTACCACAGCACTACCTTTTTGTATAATACAATTTAAAAGAACATACCTTGAGTCATTGTCAAATGATGGGAGCTGACTAACAGGCAAGCATAAAAGGCACTTAAAATCAAACGAGTTTTTGGCAGTCAACATAGCAGCTAAGCAACAGAAAAAAAAAAAAAATCCAGGGCAAGTTCTTTCAACTTTTTAGCCACAACTGTATCCTTGGCCTCTAGAAATCATGGCTTTAAATACTGCAAATCCTTGGCCTTTCAAGACATCACCCCTCGTATGGTGACAGATGTTAACTAGACGTATGGTGGTGATCATTTTACAATATATACAAGTATCAAATCATAATGTACACCTGACACCATACTTTCTCTTCTAGCCACTCAAACCCCACAACCCAAATCAATCCTGGTGTATCTTGCTGTAGGATTACCACTAACTGACACTACTATGGGCAGCAGCACATGCTAGCAAGCGCAGGGACTGAGGAAACAGCCACACCCAGTTTTCCAACCTCCTAAATGTGAGCTTCCACAAATCATTTCACCTCTGTGTTTCAGTTTCCTTTCCCATGGGACACACAAAATACCTCCTATCTTCGAGTGTTACTCATAATGCCAGCTATCATTTAGTGAGCCTTCGGTTTTAGAACGGTGCTTAACCTCATTTGTTTTATCCGATTTAATCCTAACAACACAAAAATTGAGAGGAAGATAGTATATTCCCATTTGAAAGATAAGCCCAGCCGTTGTGATTCAGTGGTTGAGCGCCGACCCATGAACCAAGAGGTCGCTGGTTCGATTCCGTCAGGGCACATGCCCTAGTTGCGGGCTTGATCCCCATTAGAGGGTGTGCAGGAGGCAGCCTATGGATGGTGTTTCTATCTCTCTAACTCTCTCCCTCCCTCTCTCTCTAAAAATCAATAAAAACATTTTTTTATAAAAAGATAAGAAAGCAATGTTAGATGGGTTAGGTAAAACTGTCCAAGATCACACTTTTTAAGTAAGTGGCAAATCCAAGAATCCAAGTTTTGCTGACTCTCAAATCTGTGTTATTAATTACCAGTAAGTTAACTTCCACCTTGACTGTTTGCAAGAACTGAACTGAATGCTCATAGCAGACATTCTTTTTTTTTAAATACATTTTTTATTGATTTCAGAGAGGAAGGGAGAGGGAGAGAGAGATAGAAACATCAATGATGAGAGAGAATCATTGATCAGCTGCCTCCTGCACAGCCCCTTCTGGGGATCAAGCCTGCAACCCAGGCATGTGCCCTTGACCGGAATTGAACCCGGGACCCTTCAGTGCACAGGCCGACGCTCTATCCACTGAGCAAAACCATCCAAAGCCATAGCAGACATTCTTAGTTCCCGTTCCTGTTTTCTACCCCTGAGAGAATAAGAGAAGTGCTAAAACCGTGGCAGAAAAACATAAATCCCAAACAATAACACAAATCACCTGCACGATACTACAAATGAGTATAAAATGTTGTGTAACCTTGAAGAATAATCTACTCCAGGCACTTGGATTTGGGGGGGGAAACAGGTTTGATCTATTAGTAATTCTGGAGAATTCAGCTGGTTTCCAAGCTGCCCAATCTCCCAGTGGGAAAGAAAGTAGGTCATATGCCGCAGACAACTGATAAACTCAGGGGACACCACACAGCACAAAGAACAGGGAGCGCCACTTAACGTCGGGAAAAGATAACTGCTGACTGAACCAGGAAGTACGGAGGAGCAGGGAGATACCGCAGATCCTGTTCTCTGGGTGCTTCCAAATCAGAAATATAAATACAACAGGCATTAACCTTTGGGACTTGGGAATGAGAAGTGAGAATTCCCAGGGATTTCTCTGGAATCCCTCCAATTATAAGTTATTCTTAAAATACTTCCCAATATTTCTTACTCATTATGATGGATATCTAAACATCATTGTTAAATAAGTAAGAAAAAACTTAATAGAATTTACAAAAAATTGTAGCCTATAACAAATATTCGAATGCCAGAAAATGCCAGTGAACAGCCCTGGGTAGTAGTCCAACAGCGGGCCCCATCCAGCCCTCAGTCTGTTTGGTAAATAAAACTTTTATGGGAACACAGCCCACTTGTGTATTTTATGTATAGTCTATAGCTGCTTTCACACTGAAACAGCAGAGCGGATAGTTGTGACAAAATCCATATGGCTTGCAAAGCCTAAAATATTTACTCTCTGACCCTTTAGAGAAAAAGTGTGTTGACCCCTGCAATAACCTGCATTTGGATGTACAAGCAAAGTTAATAGCACTACCCAGAATCACATGTTGAAAAGGCCATTTTAAAGACTTATTTTGTTTCGGAAACGTATTTCTTGGAATACTACTCATAGGATTTGTGTACTCTATGCTGTACATATAAACATATTATTTTATTTGCATGGATGACTCACCAGGAGCAGCAGACGGGGCCACGTAATCTACAACATAGCAACATCAACATCTACCAGTAATCCTGACCGATTCTCTCCTCTGGGCTCCCATCCTGTCCTGGATCTGGGAAATGTCAGTCTTATCCTTCAACTCCATAGGTTAGCTTTCAACTTGACCTCAGTGGATTCCTCAGCTCTACAAATGACTCTGTTGATTGTTTAATTCTCACGGGAGAATTACAACACTTTTCCCTATTTACCTGATTAACTGTTTTTGTGTGTGTGTGTGTTTTTCAGAATTTAGAAATGCTCAAAGAAACCCTGGGAAGGAGTTCTGCATTGGAAACACTATTTTCTCAGGTATATATTTAAATATCAAGTAGGGGTCAAACTCACTAACTTTTAAAGAATGGAGGGGAAAGAGGTGTGGAGAGAAGGCAGGCATGAAGAAGAACAAAGTCTCCAGGGTCTTTTAAGGAAAAGATTAAGGTCTCTCTCAAAGCCTAGAGAGAAGACCAGCCAAAGTGGAGACAGGATGACAAGGAGATTTCCTAATGCTTTGGCCCCAGGAACAGATTTAAGGCCCAAGTATCGAAGCCCCTTTCTCCTCCAGAATTTAAATTATAATTTGGCTGAAATGAGAAGCATTCACTGTGGATTATGACAGAAGTGAGTATAATTAAGGCCTAAGTGACCATTCGACCAATAGCTATGACACGCACTGACCACCAGGGGGCAGACACTCAACGCACAGACATGGAAACATGGAACAGACTGATGAATCTCAGAGGGAAGGGGGAAGGGGGGGTGGGAAGAGATTAACCAAAGATCTTATATGCATACAAAAGGCCCAGTGCATGGATTCGTGCACCAGTGGGGTCCCTCAGCCTGGCCTGCAGGGATCAGGCCGAAACCGGCAGTCCGACATCCCCCGAGGGGTCCCAGATTGTGAGAGGGCACAGGCCAGGCCGAGGGACCCTACTGGTGCAAGAATCCATGCACCGGGCCTCTAATATGTATAATTTCAAACATCCTCATCTGAATCCATTCATCTGTCCAGCCAAAGACTCATTTATTTGTGCTAGAAAGATGAAGCACAAGGATCCAGGAGAAAACTTAAGGGAACAACAGATGTGGGATTCTGTATCACAAAGAGGGTTCTAGGCTTGAACCAAAAGGTCCTGGATTGATCCCAGCACTGCCAATCACTAGACATGTAATCTTGGGCCACCTGTGGGAGCCAAGTCTCTCACAGGCCAGATGGGCACCATGACTTTCTTGTAGAGTTGTCACATGTGACATACATCACATATAGTGGTTGCTAATAAGTGGGAACTATTACTATAAACGCAATAGTTAAGGAGCAATGATGAAGACTGAGAATCATGAGAATTGAATTATTAGGTTGAGTCATTTAGAAAGGTCAAAATTTGACCACTTTGTCTCATAAAAAATAGCAGTTTTTAAATAAATATAAAGGTCTGTGCAAGAGAAGAACATGAAGAAATAATGCCCCGTACTCATCACCCCACTAGTGGCAACTTAGAAGAAATCCAGACACCAGATGGGAAGGCTCGAGTCTAAAATAGAATTCCCTTTTGTCAACTCCCACTAGACAGGAGGTGTGACTTCAGGGACAAGATTCAACAAAAGACAGACAGGGAGACAAAGAAACACACACCTCACTCCTAGGTATCCCACATAATTCACGCATTCTCTCCCTTCCTGCCTTCTTTTCTTTTCTTATTTCTTTCCCTACACAATGCCCAATGGTGTCTTCTGTTAACCAGTTTGGAAAGGAAGGAGCATTTCTGGTCAGCTAACATCACCAATTGCATAGTAGACCTTGTGGAGCAGTTAGTAGCTCAATAAAGAAATTCAATGGATCTGTCACATTTCCCCCCTTATTTTCCTATCTTCCCTCCTCCCGTAGGTGTTAATTTTTCAAATCCTGTGAGTCCTCACCCAGTTCATGAGTCCGTGGCTGCTCCATGGAGTCATGTCAATCCTGGATGAGTTCTGAGTTTCAAGACACCCCACCAGCCCAAACCCAAGTGGCTCTACCCCAGCTGTATCTAAGTCTCAAAAAGGTTCTGAAGGAGGAATTAGCACACCTTCCGTAGAGAGGGATGGAGAATAGGCAGAGGTAACAAAGGAGGAACAAGCCATTTCTTCCATCCTCCCAACCCACTCCTCCCAAAACAGAACCAGATTTCCCTGGTAACTGGCTGGTCTTTCTCAGTGTCCTGGGTGCAGCTTGTATGTGTGTGGATCCCACCCCCACTCCACAGCACTCCAGCGCTCTCATCACTGGGAGACACCACGTTTTATCTGTGGTCTCTCAGTAGCGTGTAATCCTTGATGATTACCCTCACACAGAATGCTGTAAAGGCTTTCATCATCTAATGATCTCAAAGCATTTTGTAAGCATTCACAGGGATGCCACCCACAGGGCCAGACCAGATGTTCTGGTTTTCTAAAGGGGTGTCTGCATTGTTACTCCTAACCTTTGCGCTGGGGTTCCTGCGTATACATACCTTCACTAGACCACTAGACCGATAGATATTAGCAAAGCTTCTATGGGGAGCTTCTTCACAGTAGGGACCCTGCATCCAACATCCTCCTGTATGCCCAAAGCCGGCTCTGGCGTCACACCAAACTTATTTAGGTATCTGTGGCGTGAACGAAGCTTAAAATTACAGAAGAAAACAAAAGCATTAACAAATTCAAGCTCATAAATTTGGTCAAGAAAACTTCTTTATCAGTAAATGGCTAAGTTTCTACCCTGGACTTAAATTCAAAACAGTGCACAAAGTTCCAAATATTCTTATTTGAGTGAAACAGGTTAACACAAGAAACATAAAGAAATATATCAAGCCTTATAGAAAAAGTACTACTTCATAAAGGCAGTCTTTACTTTAGAATGGCAATACGTTTTAATACATTTGTCAACAAAACAACTACTCCAAATTAAAGTTAAGTTTTTCAAAACTGTACAGAAATTTCCAGAAATATTGAAGAGGGATGCTACAAAAGAGGGGGTACCAAAACAAATGAACAGAAAACTAAAGCTCTTAAAAACCATTCCTCCAATGCCCTCTTGCAAATATTTATGCCACTTAGCAATCTAAATAAAATTTTCACCAGATCACTTTCCCTAATTAGGTTCAATGAGAAGAAACTGAATAAAAGGCATCAGCATTCTTTTTCTAATTGTTTGGTTCAATATATTATCTGTCCACAGGCATAAAGACATTTCCAGACTAGGAATGAAACTGCTTGCCTCCCATGCAGAGAAAACAAGGTAACAAACAAACAAAAACGACTGAGTAAAGTAAAAATAAATAAATAAATAAATAAATAGTAAACAATATATTGTATGGCTTTATTTTCTTGTTGTTGTTATTGTGTGTCTGTGTTCAGACTACACCTCCATAATCATGTCAGACAAGCTACACATTTTATATAACATAATTGCCAGTCCTGTAATGAGTGATCTGAAAAGTTAACCTGCAAGTTTGTTGAAGAGAAAACCAGTCTCTTATTTATCTTTTTCGTTTTATAATAACATCTCTTTCATACTAGATAGTCAACAAGTATTTGCTGACTGATGAACAGTGATGTTGATTTAAAATAAGATTAAAGTCAAGAAGTCAGGAGATTCTGGGTCTACACTGAGGGAGCAGCCTTGAGTTCTTCATACTCTGCCCTATAATCTTGATGGTATTCTCGCAGGCATTCGTCAAGGTACGATGGAGAGAACACTGAACTAATGAGTTAGACATACCCTGTTACTACAGTTCTGCGACTGGGAAGTCGCTTATCCTCTCTGGCATTCATTTTTTCTGAACTATAAACTGAGAATGGTGGCCCAACTTGCTAAGCTTCCCTCCAGCTCAAAGATCCTCTGTTTAGACATTTCTTTTACAATTTCTAGCAGGATTCCTTAAAAATTACGCCAACAGGAAGAAAGGCTACCTCTTTAATTAGAGATGGTTTTTCCACCTACTCTTCAACTAAGACGGCATCCAACCCATTCATTAAGAAAAAAAGTAAGAGTAACATTTCTCATTTTATTTAGCAATTTAGTTAGTAACTCACAGTAGGTTGCTTTCAATCTGATTTGCGTATCAATAATTTATTTGCCAACTGAAAGATAATTGAGTAAGAAAACACACAAAAATGAATAGAATAACCGTGGGGTCTATTGATACAGCCTCTCAAGGGGCATGAGAATACATCCAGTTCCCAAAGCAGGGAAACCAGATGAACAAAACTAAAGTGAGCATGTCCACCTCACCCACCACCTCAAACCTGCTTATCTTCCTTTATGTTCTATCTCAGGCAATGGAACCACCGATGACCAATCCTACGACGGAGACATTTACCTTCCAAAGCCCACCCCTGCCTTTGTCCCAGCTCTACCTTTTCCCACCAGCAGCACTCCAACTGCTTCTCCCATGATCTCCTCCGTGTACCTGCCACAGTGCAGTCAATGTCCCTTGAGCTGCCTGTCCTCAGCTCAGCTGTCAATGGCTCTCCTTAGCATGTGCAAATTCCCTGATTTCCATGACCCGGCCCAAGACCTCTCCAACCTCATCTAGCCATCACCCCACAGGTACCCTGACCCTAATGACACCTTACAGCTCCCTGAGGACACCACAATCTTGTTCACCTCTTGCCTCTGCACTTGCTTGCCTGAAATGCTTGCTTCCATCTGACAAATTGCTATGTTTCAGGATCAACTCAAGAATCACCTCCTGATGGAAGCCTTCCCTGAAATCCCCAGGCTCACACCCTGTCTGAGTTACATGTACCCTCATCTATAATCCCAAAACTGAATGATCACAGAATCTAAATGGTACATTTCATTTTTTTTTTTATTTCACTGCCTAGTGAATCTGCGGATTCCTCAAAGTAGTATTTTTTCATCTCTGAAACATCAGATATAGTCTTGTAAGCATAAGGTCCTTAATAAATGTTGATGGATGGATGGGTGAACCATGATAATGAATTCAAAGCATAAGAGAAACCCTCCACGGGAAATGAACAATAAAAATTATGCTAATGGGGGAAAAGGAGGCAGGCTTACCAGAATCCACTCTCAGTGTTGTCATAGCTTTTAATTCAAAGCAAAAAAACACACACAAAAACTCTCTCAAATCCTAAATTATAAGCGCTAAGAGAGAAGTAAAGTGTTTCTTACAAAAAACAATGTGTAAACAAAACATGTACTCTAAACCCTAGCTTCCTAATGACTTACATATGGAAACTAGGAAGTATTCCCACTCTGATACTATAGGCACAATATTTTTCTAAATTACATATACAGAAAAGTAACTTGAGAACAACACTCAATGCCATGCTAACACTGTAATATTACTGGAAATTTCAATGTTGTCAATAAAATGTAAGAAAGAAGATGCCTCATCTTATAAGAAAAATGTTAATTTTTTTCCCCAGAAAATTATCCCCGAGATTGTCACTTGGCACCAGGCCCTGATACAATTCCCGTGGCTGGGCTCTAACTCACTGGCTTCCTTCCAGATGTCATCAGTCAAGGTGCCAGGGACCAGAGTGGGGAAAAGATGAGTTATTCTCATGACAATGCTATCTTCTTAATGGTCTTCCCCACCCCACCAGCCCTTCTCCCAACCCCAACCTTTTTATACCACACAGTGAAAAGAACAAACGTATAAATTGCTATATAATGTAACTCAACTTAATTTAATAAGCATAAAGAAGGTAACAGAAAGGAGGCAATGGACCAAGTTAAATATTAAGTAGGAAGATCCGAGGAATAAACTTGCCTGTTATTAGCACTCACTGGCTGGGATCACTAAGCTTACACATGGAATTGCTCAATGCATGAGTCATTTCAAATCATGACTGTACTGATTCATTTAATATGTCCAAGCAAACCTGCAATAAAATGACCTAGAAGTCTTGAGATGCAGCTGATTCTCCAATCAAAATAATGGGGGTGGCAGATATATTTTAGAAAAATCCAAAACATAAATGTGTTTAGAAAATAAACGTCAAAATCCTATTGTTTTCACAGTAGAAATGGGCAGAAGAATGTGAGATTTTTGAGTTTATCAAAATTGGGCATGTTTTTAAGAAAATGGTTGAGAATTTACTGCTCTGGAGGATTCCTTTATGGGCAATCGACACTGGTATCCACTGTGGGGCTGGTCCAGGAACTCAGCTTCTGTCCCATTCAGGTCACAGGATGATTGGGAGTCCAACCTTTGACTTCAACTTGAGTGATTTTAGCTTTAAAAATCAGTCTTACATGCTGATAGATTCTTTTGGGGGTGATGAAAACGTTCTAACAGATAGTGATGACAGTGGCACAACTCTGGATTTACTAAAAGCCACTGAACTGCACACCATACAAGGGGAGTTCTGGTAAATGAACTAACTCAATAAAACTATTATTTTAAAAACTAGTCAGAAAGCTCTTCTACCTTTTTCTGTACAACTTTAGCCCTTGAGTCTATGCTGTGCTGTGCCTGTTAATGACAGGGACATACTGTATCCAGACTCATTTTTGTGGGAAGAGCCGGAGGCTTGGAATCACACAGTTTGGAAGCTGGACCTATGTCTGTCACTTCCCAGGCTCTGGAATCTTGAGCGCATTACTGTCTGAACTCCAGTCCCCAACTATAAAACAGGCAAACACCACCCACCTAGCAGATGAGGAGACGGAGAATCTGCAAATCACCACCCAGCTCAGACAGAGGGTAACATGGCAGAAAATTAAAATGGAGCAGGCTCTAAGATGGGAAATGTTAGGTGTCGGGAGAAAATAAAAGGGAAGGTGCAAAAGCAGGAAGGATGTAGCAAGTGAAGATCACGGCAGAAGCCAGCCTACCTAGAATCAGGGCAAACCCCTCTGGAATCCTCCTTTAGGTCCCAGGATCCTTTGGGGTGGGAGTGATGAGGAGTGGGAAGGTGGGGATGAGTCCGCTCCCAGGAGCATGTACTAGTATCAAGACTACATTATCTATCATACTTAAATCTCTGGATTCCTTACTTCAGTAATTTATGCGAGTAACCACAAAGTAGAGACATTTTCTATATTTTTAATCTCAAGTATCATTAAGCACTCAGTCCACTAATGGAATTATAGCTTCTTGATTTGAGTTGCTATTAATTAGAGCACATAGTTTTGCACCAAGATTCATTTTTATAGATTAATTCTATACAATAAAACATGCCTGAAGTTGATCCTTAGCAGTCTTTTCATCGCAAGCCTCAGGATTCCACACCTGTGATTAATTTACAACAGCACAAGTTGAAACATCAGCTTTTCGATCATTTTGTGATACTGCAACTCTTAAGAAGCCACTTCCCTGACAATTAATACAAACAATCTATATTTACCATCAAAACCCAAATTCCCAACTGACCCAGAATTTAATGTGAAATTAAATCTTCATCACGGTTTTAATAACACTACTCTCACTTAAAATGTGCTCTATTTGTCCAAGCAACAATTAAAGGGGGAGGGGGGGACAAACCTTTAAAAAATACATATAATGTGTGTATATGAACATGTGTATGTACACACACACACACACACACACACACACACTGATAGGGCAGGGCCAGCCCCACCCCCTGGTCAAACTCCTGATTGAACCCCCAGTCGAACTCCTGGTTGAGGGAACAATTT